TTTCAATGTGTACTATTCGCGTAAGCTATAGACAGTATTTAAAATAACTATTTAAAGTAACTACTTGCTTATATAGTGGTCGGATTTAATGAAAACATGACAGGAAGCTGGCAACGCGCTTCAAAATTCATAGAAATCCAAACTTAAGTACGAGTTACCCTGTAACCGAAAAGCGACGAAATTACCTCGAATTTTAGCAATCTCGAAATTCCTTTTTGCTTTATCCACGGTTCAGGAAGGGTGCAACGATGTTCGCTCAAAAACTCATTACTTATATTCACTATGCAAATTGCCCCGAGCTTCCTATTTTCTGTAGCCTAGACTAAAACTGTTCGCAATCTGTTTTCTCGAACCTTACACGTATGTTAGAAAGATTTACGCTGCTGTAATTTGATAAACAAAAGATAAAAGCTAATATGTCTGTACTAATTATAAATATCATTCTCGAATTGTAATTCATTCTTGATTACGTTCGGAAGTTAAAATCGAAAGATGGCTTGTTTATCGATGTATATATATCCCGCTTTGACCAAAGACTTTACAAGTCTAAGTAAAACAATCAAAATATCGTAAAGTTAAAATATTATAAAGAGGAAAGATTTGTATTTTTGTATTTAACGGGTTAACTCAAAAAGTACTGGACCGATTGTAATCATTCTTTTTTCATTAGAAAGCAACATTATCACTGAGTAACATAGGCTATATTTAGTACTTGATTACTATAGGCATTTATAGAAATTCTTACTAAAACCAACGGAAGGCGTAAAAAAATTAGGCTATCATTAATACCTTTCTTCGCATACGCTGCGAAAAGTATTAATGATAGGACAAAAAAATGTTCGACAATATTATAGAATATATCAATATCTACAAAAAACATCGAGAGCATATGTCTAAATATTGTAATTACGTCGTTAAAACTACTTTTTTACATTTAACAAATTGGTAGAAATGCCGATCAAAATCAGACCGGACTGAAACAATCTGGTTAAACAAAACAGTATAAAACGCGATATTTTTTACCGTTAAAGTGTTTACTAAAAATTAATTAGTTTAACTTATTTGAAAATTATTTTAAGTACGGCTCGACGTGTAAGATGCTTTGCAGCAGCCGTTGTCACGAGGTCACTTCTGTGATTTATTTGTTAAATAAGTTAACAAATATATCCCGTTTTAAACCGTAAAAATTAAAATAGATTTTTCTTAGTTTACAGGAAAACACAAATTTACAGTTCATTAAATAAAACTGTGTAATTAAGAATCAGCTGAGTCTCACTCAGCACTCATTCACCAGCGTGTCTAGTTGTACAAATATAGCAATTACTTGGGTTTACTCAGTTTCGGACGTTAATTGAATTCAGCTAACAATACGGCTTCGTGCAAATTAAAGAGGTGCTCACGATTCGCTAAGAGAATCCACATCGCGTTGGATAAAGATATCGCTCCAGCTCGGACTGCAGGTGAGAATAAAAAGAATTTCTGAAGCAAACGAATGAACGCGAATTATGTAAATTCAAGATAAAGTCAAAAACTCTCTGGCTTATTTGAAAAGATTGCTGGGAATCGGAATATTTGAATGGGATCTGGTTGTTTTCCAACGGATTTCGTGCATATGGAATTAAGGGGTATTATTGGTGGGTAGGATATTTCTCAAATTAATATATTTTAATTATCATCTATACATAAAAATTCTGTGTTTACTGCAAGTACGGTAATATTTTTTCTAAAATCAAAGCAAGCTATAAAGGTGACGACGTGTCTTATCAGACATTAGTGCGTTCTACGCTCTTGTTAAAGATAAAAGTAAATTACATTTACAGTTTTAATTTTGAATCTGCATTATACCTTACACTGTTCCCTGGTTTTGCCTACCATTGTAACTGCAATATTAAATAGAGAGATTAGGTATAATTGATTGGATCGTTGGTGTAGTGGTAGCATTGTACGGTTTGTGGGTTTGTGGGATCCCCACCGAGTCCAACATGTTCCTAATCAACTTAAAAATTGTTGAAACATGTTGGACTTCGTCTGGAAAGCTGGATATTAAGTAGGTGGTGAAGTGAAAGCCCGCTTCCCCCTCGTGGGGTATGGGGCGAACACATTTCTGTGTCCACTGATCCCTTCTTATAACGGGCAAGTAGTTGATCAGACTTCTGTGCCCTGCCCGACCGAAATAACTTTGTTTCCATGGGACTAGAATCCAGGACCTCTCGCGCTTAACGCAATGCTAGACAATACGTTTAACCATTTGGCTACAGAAGCAGTCTCGAGTGGGTGGTGGGAATATCGAATTTTCGTCCGGATCACGAAAAAGCCCTGAAGTTTATTCACGTTTCGGTTTCAATCTATGGTTTTCCGAATAGCCAAAGCCAAAATAGGTCGACGGCACATCTTGTTTAGATGCTATAGGCTGGGGTATTTCACCTACCATCAAGTGGACCCCAAGCGGGTCTGTCCGCTATCATTAAAAAAATATTAATGCTTTGTCATCGTTAGTGAATAGTCATCGTAGTCATCTACGATTTCTGACAAGCGCAACAAACTTACATGGTTCAGAGTTCTCAATGTTGAAATGTTTTCGCGTATAAGCTCATAAATCCTTTTCATTTATCCTTACTCTTCTAGAGGCTTATGTCAAGTCTAAGTTCAGAAACCCAGTAAGCTCTGCAAATTAGATTTTATTTTTATAAAGCTTCTTTTTATCTTGTACTAAGGAGGCGTTATTTAACAACTGACAGGTATATTTTAGCTGCGTTTTCATACTTATTTAAATTAATTTCACTTGAACGAAGGTTACCCCCCATATAGCATCTTGATGACGCACTGTCAACTAATTTTGGATTTGAATATTTTGGAAATCAACCGACTGACGGAAACGCAATCAAACGTCACGGCTTTTTTCATCCGTGGACAATAGTTTTGATATCGATTTATAATTACACATTTCCAGGAGAACTCCAACAGGATTCTGAGAAATTACAAATTGATTATAAACATGTTGAACCCGATGGGGATCGAACCGTTTGATTATTAACATTACATCGCTATCATTACAAGGCAACTAGCAGAATATTGATAGTAAACTAAAAATCGATTTTACATTTAAGAAAAAAAAATGATACAGGCGGGACTTGAATAGAGTGTTCGTTCGCTCTTGCTCCTACCCATTGAGCTGCCGTGTTATATTTTTTGTAATCTAAAATCGATTTTTAATTAAATAAGTCCATCATGTGGCGAATATTAAGTTTAAAAGTTCTTTAAAATTTACACAACTGTATAGACAATAGAACAATTTAAAATTATGAAAGACGCTACACGACTTTTCATTAATATTATCCTTTTTAAAGTTAACGGCGCGTGAGTCCACGTCTAACATATATCTAAAAAACCGCTTCTCATTACCAAATGTAGTACATAAACAAAATAGGGATCTGTGGGATAAACGGGCGATACTTACTTTTAGATCCGCACGTGACCTAATCCCGCAAAGCTGGTTGGATGCTGGCACGGAATAATCCGAGAGCCAGGTGAGGCCGGTCGACTTGAGGGTTTAAGCCAGAAACTTCGTTGAATATGCCGATGAGACTCATTACTAAGATTGCAGCTAGCAAAAGATTTTGATGCCATAAACGATAGAAAGTTTTTCAGACCTGAACCGCTTCATTAGGTAACGCGTTAGCGAAGTTTTCTAATACTTAAATGATGAAATTTAATAATATTTTTAAAATAACTCGTCATTTACTAACGGGCGTCTTAATTTACATGTTTTTGAAAGCCTAAAAATGTATCATGATAGCATAATATAAGTTTAAAACGATTTTAGATCTAAAAAAAAATTACTATCGGAAGAAGTAAAAATGAATAATTAATTTAAAATACTTATAATAAGAAATATTTTCAATTAAATAAGCTATAAACAGGAACCGTTGTTTTATATAACGTATATAAGTTATTATTGACTACGCTTCAAAGTTTCGAGTAATTATATAAATTAGAGTTTGCAATTTTAACCTGTTAAAATAGTTTAAATTCCTACATAGATTTCAAAGCATAGTAAACTTTTGAAATATTATCCGTCGGTATTAAGTTTAATGATGTCGGAAACAGGTGCCACGCTCAAGTATAGCTTTAACTTTTATCAAGTTTAATAGTGCAATGTCGTTAAGATTTTAAACTTATGCATTGCAACAATAATATAACAGATTTTTCTTTCCTATTGTTGCCTCATAAGCTAAAGTAGCCCAACATGCCCTGGAGAAGTCATCCAAAGAACGTAAGTGATGTTGCTAGTAAATCGGCAGGTTAAAATGGAAATAGGCTGGCCATGTCTCCAGAAGACAAGATGGTCGGTGGAGCCGATATATACTAGATTGGAGTCCAAGTTAATGCGACCGCAGTGTAGGACGACCGGCAGCACGGTGGACTGATGACCTGAAGAAAGTAAGCTGAAGCAAATAAATAGAGCTCATGGCGAAGGATCAAGTTCACGACCCGTTACTTATTGCTACAGTTACACCAACGAGCGAGTCAATACTGTGAAAAGGTATTAGACATTTATTTAATGTGAAAAAGTCAAAATAACATTTCGCCCAACTCTGAACCGCGTGACCAGCAGCCGACTGTAATAACCACTGCCAACAAGGGAGTTGTAGTCTTAAATAATAAAATACTAAAGTTCGTATAATAAATCGTAACTAACAATTTTCAACCTTTCTGTTTCAAACTTTTTTAACTTATACCAAAGAGTATAGAATAATTTATGAACGTGGATGAACTGGACTATATAAGAAGACTTATATTCTTGCATTATTCAATCCGTTATATACATTAAGATGAACAGTCCAACAAAACGAGCTTTGAATGAAATTTATAAAACACTCAATTTATGTCACTTCTGCACTTCAAAGATCGGATTATCATTTAAAGACAGACCTACAACACTAATCCGAAAAGTGTCTACAACACTATGGTTTTTATTATCTGGATTAATTTTGTTTTTGATGGTGGCTGGTGAGATTAATTATGCTCTTAATAAGCTTATTACAGCATCATCTGTGGTTGACTTCGTAGCTGGCTTACATATTGCTGGCTACGATTCTATGAGTAAGTGTGGTCTTTATAATATGTATTTGCATAGATATAAAAAGAATTATAAATCAATTTATAGTCTGTACATTGCGCAAGATGGCATTATATAAATTAAAAATTGATTTTAGATGGGAAAACTTATAAAAAACGACGTTATTGTTATTGATGTGTAGAGAAAGGTTAGAGCCACCGAACGCAGTGGATGCCAGTTCCAGACCCGCCCGTGTCGTTTTTTAATCTAAAATCAATTAAAAGTAAATTTATATAATGCATTCATGTACTGATTTATAACAATACCATTTTAAGCTTTCAAAAACACACGCAAATTAGGACTCCTAAGCCTTAACGCCTACGACCTCGAAGCCGCGAAATATATTAATTATTAATATTATGGTAGTGATTAAAAATAAGTTTAGCAATATATTTCGCGTTCTAAACGGTTAAAGCTGTTTGATTCAATATTTGATTATGCATATAATTAAAGCGAGATTTGAAGTAAATGAAATGCAGCCAACGTCGGAAAGAGAGTAAATTTTTTTACTTTAAAATAATTGCATTCCCGTACTATCTCTGTCTGTTAGAAAACTCTCCCTAAGTGCACTTACAAAGCTTGTTATTAAAAAACAACTGTACAATTTGAAACAGGGAGCGAAACAATTCTTAATTCCCCAGCTCTGAAAGTGAAATTACAAAAGGGATTCTCTTGTTCCGAAACTTTTTTGACTCGCCCGACCGACTTTTATTTAAATTGTAATTTTATTGCCTTTTAGGTTTTGGTAAATTGCTGACTCTGTGGTACAAAAGAGATACTTTCAAGCACCTTTTGATTGAGCTGGCGGATATCTGGCCGATGTCCGAGCATGATAAGGGAGCCATTGAAATCAAACGGAATAAGCTGTCGAGTTTGCGTATTGGTCAATTTTGTAAGTGTCATTCGTGTTAATAAAATAGTGAACTGGCAAACGTTTTTCCATATGAATTATTTCGACCAAATTTGATTACCGTAAAATCGGGTCTTTAAAGATAGACATAATGTCACAGAGATTTTTTTAGAATAAAAATATTTCTTCCGCACATACTTTTTGATAATCTAGAACCCGTTTTCGCAGCATACGCAAAGGAAACCCTTAAAGATGAATGGTTTAACCCCTTCTTCCACATTTCTTCCTATTTCTTTTCTTATATTGGTCGCAGCTTTATGTCTTATATCCTAAAATCTTCCTCAATAAATGCTCTGATCAACACAAAACGATTTTCTAATTCCAATCAGTTGTGTCTGAGATTAGCGCGTTTGTTAAAACAAACAAACTCTTAAGTTTTATAATATTAGTATAGATAAAACATCGATCTACTCGCCTCAAAGGGTTCCGTGTCAATTAGCGTTTTCAAATGTAAATTCATTTGCTTTAATCCTTCTAAAGTCGTAATAAATTTGCACAGAATTGCAGTAATGCACTATTTTCAACTGTCTACGCGTGTAAATACTTAAGTGAAATATTTTTAACGGTTTAGATCGTTAAAGTTATTTTTTTCGTTTGATTTTTACAAGTGCGACCCGTGACCACGGCTGCTGCAAATCATCCGAAACGTCAAGTTAATATTCATCAGGGCATAGTTAATATTGATAAAAAAATTAATATACTAATTTAATTTGCAATTCAATTACAGTAATTCGGTAAAAACAAACATGCAGCAGGCCAGCAATGCTTGCATTTTTGTTAGTTGGTTTATTTTACAACTTATTTTCATTGTATTGTTGTAGGGTACGCCTTCTGGAATATATTGGGGCTGTGGCTGTACAATTTGACTCCTATAGCAATCTACTTGTATCACAAGATTCGAGGCGCGCCAGCTTATTTGGATTATATATGGCATCTGTCTTATCCCTTTGATAAAACTAAACCCGTATATCACGAAATCGTCTTTGTCTTTGAACTGTACGGAGGTAAAGTTTTAAAACTAAATCGTTAACTGATTTAACTTAATATCAAACATGTATTTAATGAGTTTTAATTCAGAGATCCATTGTGTTATTATGTTAGTAATATTTAAAAAAATATTAAATAAATATATCAAAACTTGTCTGTCCTTTTCTATCATAAAAAAGATCTATCAGTAGGTAAGTAAGTGAAATCTACGCACATGTGGCAGATACATATCTGTGTCCGTTTCACTGGTTACTTACAGGCAAGTGGTAGCCCTGATTTTTGCCCTGTTAACTAATGCTTCCCCATGATTCGTACCAAGGATCTAACGATTTCTGAGCTTGTATAGCCTTCTGTGGGACAGACAATTGTCTGAGTCCGCTTTGTTAAGAACCTTTATAGACAAGTAGGTAAGACCCTGTCCTACTCTTGATTCCGGGATTCGAACCCAGAACCATAGTACTGGATTCTTACATACTTGCAATTGATTAGTCAATTATTTAATTGACATTATGCTAAATGCTTTTTAAATTATTATTAGTTCTTATTGATATTACATTTTTAATTACTAATTTATTTTCCAGGAGTAGTTTCCGTTTGGTCAATGCTGGGTTCTGATATACTTTTTATGACTATGTCAAGTCATATAAGTATGCTTCTTAGACTGTTGCAGTTAAAAATTCGCGGATTATCTTATAACCAAGACAATGATAACGCTAAGCAAAAATCCTATGAGGATATAGTATCTGTTGTGAAAATACATCAAAAACTTATAAAGTAAGGTTTAATTTACTAAGCTATGAAGCCACATTTAAATGAAACACTTTAATGATTTAAAACGCTTTGTAGCAGCCGTGTCACGGGGAGACTCCCCGTGACCACGGCTGCTGTAAAGTATCCGAAACGTCGGGCCGAAGTTAAAAATCATTTTCCAATAAGTTTAACTAACATATCGCGTTTTAAACTGTAAAAGTGTTTTATTTAAATGTGTACTACCCGCGTTAACTATAGACTATTTATGAAGGCACGTTTATGATTTTTTCAATTAAAATGTTATTGTCCTCGTCTTGTCGTATTGTTGCAAAATGACCGCTTTTGAAGTCTTAATAAAGGACTGTTTGCTGATTGTTTTGCTTAGACTAGAGAACAATATAATATTGCTTTGTAGGTCTATTGGTTACTGCAAAATATAAGTTAGTATATTAGTCTTTCTCTTGGTAAATGTTTATATAGATACTGTTAGTGTAAATAAGTTAAATTTAATTAGGAAACATAGTATTTCGTAAATCATAAATTTCACGATTTAACGGATTAAATATTTCTATTACTTTTCTTAAATTAATTCCCGAGTATTCAAAGCCAAAAAAAGGTCGATAGCGCATCTTGTTATATGGATGGGGTATTCCTATAATCAAGTGACAAGTGACGGCAGACAATTGACGTGCCCCACGGTTTGATTTTAGTCTAGTCCACGCATATGTTTATAATTCCCACGACTGTATCTATTTTATTATTTTTTTGGTTTTTAGTACATTTATCTTAAACAATGTATGTTTAACATAAAACCGTTTAACTTAAAAAGTTTTTTTACCTATTTTTATTTTACATTAGCTATGGCGATGACTTGGAGGAAGCATTTTCAATGGTCAACCTAATAAATGTTTTACTCAGCTCCGTAAACATTTGTTGCGTCGTGTTTAATATAGTATGTATAATTTCTTTATATCTCGCATTTATTAATCGAAAATAGACACGTCCATGTCCTGCCACAAACATACAATCTAAAAATGTTCTAGAAAATACGGTGACATTCAAGTAACAGCTATATAAATGTGTGTAAAATGTTTTAAAAATCAATTTAACGGTTTAAAGTGCGAAGTATATTAGTTGTTTTTTTACGAATATTATTTTAACTACGGCTTTTTTGCTACTTTGTCGTGGTCGTCGTGGCAGTCGTGGTCACAGGGAGACTAAAGATGGAGGGTGTCTCTAATGACAAAGTAAAAACTAAAACCGGCCGGGTCCTGGCAGAATTAAAAATTTAAAGGTAGCTTCGCGTTTACCAGGATGTTGTTTTTTGGAATCCAGAGTTTTTAACGTAATGTCGGTCCCAAAATGTCGGGCCGTAGTTTAATATATTTCGTGTTTTAAACAGTTAATATTTATTTGAATGAATACCAATATTAAAATATTGTAACTGGTTTTTGAGAGCATTCTTATATACAAGGCATTGCAAGATGTTACTTTATGCTAACGCTATTCTTTTAAGTTTAACACACACATTTAAGTTCTATTTCCTTCACCTAATGGTTCGGTTTTTACTTCAAATGAAAGAGCACCTCTATAATCTTTGACATTTCTTTGCAAGAAAAACATGTTTTTTTCACGAACCAACGCCTACAGATAGAAAAGCCGTTGTGTTTAATCGCGTTCCGGTTGCAGTCTGTGGATTTTCAAATATTCAAAACCAAAACGATATGTTATATAGCTTGGGTATTTCAGCTATCGTCAATCTGTCGTCGTTATCATGAAAAAATCTGGTAAATTCCGTCAATTATTATTTTTAACGGAATATTTATTTTTATTTATTTCAGCTTCTAGAACCATGGATGGCGATGAGCAATAAATTCTTTCTTGGTGCTGCCCTGACTCAAGTTGGTATAATGTGTTGGTATGCAGACGATATTTACACAGCGGTATGTATTATATTATTTTTCTAAAAAAACCTTTTAACAGTTTAAAAGATGAAATATTTCTAACATTGGTTTCGATCTTAGTTTACAGCTAACAAAGTACATACAGACTAAAACACAAAACTTCTTAACGATTTATAAAACGATAGCGAAAATATATTAGTTAACGTGCTCACGGGAAGACTGCAAAGCATCCGAAACATTGGGCTGCAGCTAAAATAAATTAATGATATGTTTTGCGTTTTAAACCGTTAAGTGTTTTTAGCGCTGTTTACTAGCGCTAACTACAAACGAAAGTATTTTTGTAATAATACAGGTAACAGGACTTCATAACACTTGCTCCTAATCCTTGTTTAAGCGAAGTTTTGTGCGTTAACTAACCATTGGAAAATTTTAAATTAAGTTAAGGTTTGTTGACCTAAAGATTAAAATGTCTAAAGATATTATCCTCTAGAAAAAGGTGTGCTTTGTGTAAAATTTTCCACAATTCAATCTGTCTTGTGAATTTTAAAATTCATTTCGAAAATTTCAAATTAATTCTCAAAAGCCTTGTCAAAGACAGATGCTTGCTTCAAAGCCGTCGAAATGTCGCGTAGTCACGAAAAATAATGTCATATCCATAAAATTTTCCATCCCGTACTGTTTATATTGACTTTATACTATTTATTTAAATCGGGGGACGAATGTAACGATAAAAGCATTTATCGTTACATTCGTCTGAAAATATAGAATAAAAATAAAGTATTTTGTAGTCTATACACGGGATTGCTTGTATATAATTTCAGAAGAACTCGATGGAATGTAAAATGACCAACGTGTATAAGTCTAAGTGCTAAGTCTAACTCTGCCCGCATTCGCGAGGTGCCTTTTTTTCCAATCAACCCCCTTAAGTTTTTAAATTATTGCTATTACCCACAACGTTTGCCTGCTTGACGTCGTTCTTGCCAGTCTTAAATGATACACGTATACTGTTGGAGATGTTTTTAGATCATTTGATGAAAAAGCATTCTTTCCTACATATTTTTGGTTATTTGAAGAGTTTACGAAGCGTACGCGACGGAAGCCCTTAAATATGAATAATTTCCCCGTTTTTCTGCCTATGTTTTCGCTCTTTCGGTCAACAAAGAGATTTTTAATTTAAAATAGTAGTTCCTAAGATTAGCACGGTCAAACAAACAAACAAATTTTTCAGCTTCATAATATTAGTATAGAAGTATGTATGTGCAGTTGATCACATTTAACGGTTTACAGCCGTGGTCACGGGTGCTGTTGGAAGGCTTTAAACGACGGACGTAGTTAAAATAATTTCGTAAGGATTCCCGTTCCAAACCGTTTAAAGTGTTTTATACATACTTATTTGAGTTACAGCATTTTTGGTTTTGTTTGAAAAATCTTTAACTTGCTTTGCGCTTTCTGAATAAACGGTTTTAGTAATCTTGACATAATGAAATGTATATTTAGAGCGCAGGTGTTGCTGATGCAGTGTACGAGAGCAGTTGGTACAATAGCGACATACGCTGCCGCCAGGCTTTGCTTATATTGATTCAAAGGTAACTAAGAAGACAATACTCGACGGGCACGTTGATGCTATAGTAGCAATGTATACAGTCAACGAGTCGTGGGTTAGATCCCCATAGGTTCAAACATTTTTCTAATCTATTTATAATTTTATACTGTCTATAGTTTACGCGAGTAGTACGCATTTAAATAAAACACTTTAACGGTTTAAAATGCGATATATTACTCTCAATAGATCGCGTTTGAAACCGTTAAAGTGTTTTATTTAGATATTTATAATTTTTCTAAAACATGTTGGACTTTTGGAAATATTAAATAGGTGGTAGCAATATCAAAACTTTGCCCAGGTCACGATCCACCGTTCACAGATGTTAAAGGCGTAAAGTATGTAAATTGATTTGTAAATTGTTATTTATTTCAGGTCACAAAAACCATTGTACTTTACCGCAATGAAATTTAGCTCTATCACCATGAAGACATACAGTTCTGTAAGTGTGTGGCTCTCAGATTGATCTTTTATTCTTTTTCTTAGTTAACAGACAAGAAGTTCACTACACGCTAGAATGCACCAGCCCTACTCCAATTCAAATATATTAGCTACTTAATTTAAAATTTATTTTAACTACGGCCCGACATTCCGTTGCTTTGCAGCAGCCGTGGTCACGTGAGGACTGATTGACGTTGTACCTAATGTCTATATTACATACATTATTACATTTCATTTTAAACCGTTAAAAGTGTATTTAAATGTGTACTATTCGCGAAATGTAAATATGTATTTCTTACCTGGAACCAATGAGAGTGGAAGT